AATAGGTAAAATATGACTTACAATTTACTGTTTTTCTATCTATATGTCCACTAAAAACCCGCCAAATACAGACAAAGACCAAAGAACGAAAACGAGACAATAACTGGACATATATAGAAACATATATTTTACATAATTAGATACATAAAACTTAACCCTATTACACTAGTGTCTTTTCTAAATTTAAAAATTTTATTGTATTCTTCATTATAAATTGTAATAATCTTTTTTGCGGGTTTGAATACCAGCCTGTTTTTTTTTTTTACTAAAGAATTCATTTTACATAATTAGATGACCGAGATTTTATTGTATTCTTCATTATAAATTGTAATAATCTTTTTTGCGGGTTTGAATAGTGAATAAGTTATCAAATGAGAGTTAAGTTCTCATATAAAATTATCATATTTGTATGTAAATGTAACATAGAAACATATTCAGAAATTTAACCTATACTTCAATATTGATGTCCTTAATTAGGCCCAATCCTTTAAAGACATCAGTTAGTGAAGAAAAAGACGTATCAATGGTCCTGTAGTTTTATAAACAGTCATGTTTTCTTTAAAGATGGACCTTTTCAGGAACAATGGAACCTATTGATAAAAGAGGTTGGTACTCGTAGCACTTTCAGTGACCATCCAAGAACTAGAGTTATAAAATTCAAATGGTTCATAGGGCCTGTGCTATGACCCATTTAGTGCCGTAACCACATATCAATTTTAGTCAGTTTAGTTGGTTTTATTTTTTCAATTTTAAAAACGATATGATCCGTTTTTTTTTTATTATTTTGTTTGCAATACCTTGATACATACATCGTATTTACTACCATATTGTCAAACTGATCCTTATTAATCAAACAGTATATAATTTGGTAATGTAACGCTTGTCGTTTGAATACTTTTTCAGATGAAAAACTGAACCCTGTTATACTCCTATGGTCGCGAGACCGTTTGAATTTTTTAATGCTTTTTCATGGGGAGTCACTCAAGGCACTACAAATACCACCTACTTTTGTTTAATTTGGTGCGTGGGTAAAACCTCAATGTTCCTGAAATAGATCCTTTGAAATAAGGGGGAGAAGGCAGTGGTATGATGCAATACCTTCAATGTTTGACAGTCATAATGTGTTAAGTAATTGTGTATTGAGATTCAGATATAAGCTTCAAAGTTTAGGCCCTTAGCATCACTGGCGAGTCCTAGAAGACAGCTGTATGACGCAGTTTATTTCATTGTTTGGCATGTGTTACGTCCAGGTTACTTGTCTTATTTTCTCTTCAGAAGAAGATTGAGTACCGAAATAATGGACATCCAAACACCACATAGCTTTCAATCGATCAATCAAATGAAAATAGGAGGCTACGTGGTGTTAAAACCTGATGAAATATCCATATTCTTGATTAGTGTATCCATACTAGAAGTGTCATAACCTTCAATCGCGAAGATTAAACAAAAAACACACACAGGCTATAAAAATGATGTTAGTTGTTAACCATTCGTGTTAATGTGATATATGATACGCTGTAGTACGAAATACAATGCGATATTTTTTAAATGATGAATGTATATAAAGATAGCCTTGCGATTTCACATTTCCCAGGGCTGCATTATCGTTTGATAAAATAATGTTGAATTGTAAGCAAAGCAATAAATATGAAACTCAACGTTGCGTCTATAATTTTTTTTCAATGTTCTTATCTATATTTTTAAAACACAAACTGACACTTCAATTATAATGAAACAGGGAGGCGATGAGTGGCAAGATAACTAAGGATTCTTACATCACTGATGAGTCCTAGAAGGACAAAACAAGTCAAGTGGGTACCATCCCAGTCAACATATTGTAGATATTTCAGAGAAAAAAGTCCGTGAACAAGCCAGCAAATTGTACTTATAGGGCAGGGTAATATTTGTTCGCGTGGTTCGGGCGGTCAGTATAAGTTTAGTCCCTTTGAACACTGGCATGAATAAAATAAGTTCCGTGTTACACTGGCTCATCAACTCCCCTGAGACAATGTTATGTTATCATGACACAATGATTACGGCACTCCAATCGTCTACATAAACGACTTGTTTATCAACCGACTCGATTGCGATCTTATTGAAAAAGCCAACTAATCAATATGAGAAAATCATAAGCGGCGACTACGCCAAACATAGGCGAAAATGACGCCAAAGATTAAAGTTGAAATGATGTCTTTGTTACCCCAATTAGGCGTTTTTTCGAGTTGCGTACAAATGGTACTTAACTTTATAAACACTAAGCTTTATATGAATTTGAAATATATTATCTGAGGAGAGAAGGGACAGAAAACGGTGATAAGCTGTAATGCGTTCAATGTTTTGGCCGACTGGAACACAGGGAGATAAAAAAAAACTCCAACGACTTCGCGGTTCAGTGAGCAAACAAAATAGGTGTGACTGCTTGTGTACCTCAACCGGAAGGCCACAAAGTGTCAAAACGATACAACTTAAAACCGCCAAAGCGAAAGTACGAACATCCGCCAAAGCGAAATATCTGATAGAAGCTGAATAGGACCATTAAAAATTAACCCAGTTCTTTTAGCAAGGGTAAGGAAATAACAAAAACAGATACTGGAAAAGTCGGTGTCCAATATAAAAAAGGACTCCCTTAGTAGGTCCCAAGGGTACGGGGCCTATCGTTTTATTGGATTTTAACCACCGTTTGGCGTATTTTCGAGTTTTGTCCTTAGGATTGTCCTTAGGGACGTACTAATTTTACATAAAGCGCTGATAGTGCTTTGAACTGTAAATATTCAGACTCTGCATCACAATTATAGCCGTGCAAGATAAACCTTTGGGATTTACTTAGTCAATCAGACACTTCGGAATAAAAACAACACCCCACCCCCACCCCCCCCCCCCCCCCCCCCCCAAAAAAAAAAAAAAAAAAAAAGATAAATAAATGAATAACTTTTTAGTAGCAGAACCTTTGAACCCGTTAATTGTTTAATTGTGAAACGCCAAATGCTGTTTATGGTATTGAATATGATTTGTTTGGCTTAATCTATGTTGATGAAAGAAAAAAAGGGTTAAGACAACATATGAATGATCACTGTCCAATAGTGAACCGTGGAGAGAATAAATCTTAACATTTTCATCTCACGGACCATCCTATATTGTCGATGGCTGTCCGTGTGTTTTAAAAATATACTGCTGTACAAAACTAAGCACACCGTACCATAGACATCTTGAGGAACACTATTTTACAATCCTTGGCACTGCTGCGCCATAAGACTGCATAATATTTATCAGGAGATTTGTCCTGAATGCAATAGCACTAACATTATGACTTTTTGCGCTCCTTAGACTAGACTTTATTGTGGCCATGGACAAAGGCATTATAATAAATCTAGCGGACATACCGTCACGTTTGAAAACCTTATGTATACCTAACAGAAACCAATAGGTGCCCATCATGCTCGAACTACGTGGTTTTCGCTTCCTCTCGCAGTCTATACTGCTTTTGATGAGCTGTGGCAACTAGCTTAGAGACTCCATAATGTTATTGATAGTGTGGCACAAATCAGACTCTTTAATCCTGTCCGTACAGACATCAGCAATAATTTACGCCAGAAATCTGTTTAGGCTAATATTCCACGATACTTCCAAAACAGAAAAAAACTTTTCAACTACAAACAAACGATACAATAACTGAATGTAGATGACTTTAGAAGCTTTCCTGTCCAAGAAAGGTGAATGGCAGTATAAATACATAATGTATATGTTTGTGATCTATTCCGAAGCTTCTTTCGAAAAAAAAAATATACGTCCACTTTAAAAAAATGATCAAGTTTCTCGTTGACAACATCTTGGTCGAGTTTGGTGGTAAGATCTTTCAAAAGACACTATTGGCACATCCATGGGCCCCTCTTTTGGCCCATTTTGTTTTTTATGCCCCATATTGCAAGAACGAAAAGACGAAAACTCACCAAAACTTGCTGAATTGGACAATTTTAAGATCTGTTTCTGTCTTGACATACCTAAATTAGAAATTGAATATACGCATCGTGACGTCGGTGTTGGGAAAAAGTTCTCCCTTATTTTTGGAGATATTGATCTAGTGATTACATCTCACGAAACTGGAGAAAACGCTGACCAACTTTTGTATTCCTCATTTATGTTCATAAAGAACAAGATATTTCATTCGAATTACAATACCCATATACCTAATATTCACAATTTTATGCCAGTTCCATCACTTTCACATAATTCAATGGGAACATTTTGATTTGGCGAATAAAATGCATCCGATACCATTCAAACAGACTCGTGTCAGCCTACACTATACACCTTCGGCAGATTCGAATGATATTGCATCAAAATACTCACTGAATGATATTATCATGTGAAGGCTGAAAATTAGTCAAAATCTTTATTTTTCCCTTCAGAAAATACCAAAACAAAGAATTCACGAGTTTTCAAAAACAATCCGATTGTATGTGAACAAACATGACAGTAAGTTGACGTCGTGTGTCTAAGCAAGCACCTGTGCGATTAAGATCATAGTGCAACTTTCTGTCGTTTTTATAATACGCTATGTAATTTGTAGTTTTACCAGCAATATGCGATTTTATTCGGATAAGATAGATAAAAGTAATAAAAGTGATCTTGAAATAACGATAAATGAAAAGAAGAAACGTAATTATCGATGGCAAAGGCTATTTATAGTCTTCGGGTATTTCCAATGTGATCACTTTCGATCATGTTTAGTCTGAACATGAAACAAAGGAAAAAACAGTGACAAGCCAATATTTGCAAATGATGGAGTGATGAGGTAAACCTGTCCATCGCAAACAGATAAACAAGGCGTTCCATCAAATCATATCGTAGGTAAGTAATGTATTCGTTCTATGCAATCTGTGATAATTACGGTTTTCCTGTACATTAAGTTTTAGATATATGTGACACATGAAAGTAAATGTTTACATGTGTTTACTGAATAGAATATATAAATTCACAGAAAAAAATCTGTAAACTCAAGGATGCATGCGCAGGGTAAGTTTTTGGTAGGTTAGTGGTGGTAGTAGGCATAATGTTTAAAGGTTTACATGTACTCCACACAACAACCGTTCATTTCATCAACATTTCTTAATCACCAGCTTATTGAGCAAAATACTATACAAATAAATTTTAAAATAGAATTAAACTTTATTCCTGGTTTTGACAGTGTTCCAAATAATTTGATATCTGTTTTTATTTTAATTTATTACAATATTAACCAAACAATGCAGACTGATATTGGAGGAACAAAGCTCAGTTTTCTAGATACAGCAAGTAATGTTTAATAAAACTTAAAATCACATACAAAACTGTGCCATGTAAATATAATAAGAAATTTCATTTTATCAAATTAATTTGTTTGTGATATCTGAATTGCTTGAAGCATGGTGTTGGTACATGTAGATATATACATGTATATATACATCTGTGTTGTTTGAATACAAAGACACGTGTCATAGATCCCTAACACTACATGTTGTACAATAGTGATGGCAATCTGTATGTTACGTATCCCAAACGAGATACAGGTTCTTTTTTCTTCTATATTTTTCAACTGTAAAATCTACTGTAGTTTTCTACCTGATTATGACTTATTACATATCAGTTGTCTGAGGATACTTCTCAGCAAAAATCAAGTTCTGTTATTTTTTTTCTCTGAATTAACTTCTTTTTACACTCATTTTGGGTAGGTACTCAATATATTCTAAATAATTTATTAACTACTGTAAAATATATTGTTTGAAGTTTAGATGAACATATGATGAATTCACAAAATACACATTATTGTATGGAAAGGACAAAATTACCGGGATCAGTTCCTATCGGCCTTCATCAGAAAGAGTAGGGATGATATCATGATACCTTTACATAATATAGGGAGTGGGGACATATGAATGCTAGGTGATTAGAGATGTACAATATAACCTGAATAAAGGTGCTCCTGCCTTATTCAGATCCCTGGTGATACTATCCTTGTTGTTTGGTCCCGGTATCATTTTATTTCTATTCAAATTCTGGCAAGGCTAATCTACAACTTGTTTGTGTTAGTTGCAATTTTTTTATTATTGAAATTAGCCAAGACTGTTCATGAAATATTTAGATTCTGGTCAAGTTGTAATATATTGTATTAGTAGTCATATAAGTAATTAAGCTGTGATTTTAAACCCCAGCCTAAGATGATTGAAAGACATTCACTAGACCATAAATATCTCATTGTACATGTACACATTCTGAACAGACTTGGCAGCTGTTTTGAAAAAAAAATAAAGAAAATATATCTTTGAAGTAACATGTGCATTGAAAAGTAATTGTTGTGTATTTGTTTTCACTGTTTAGAGTCTTACACATTGTATTTTGAAGGTCAGGTCATTGATAAATGTAACATTTCAATAGTGATATTCTCAACCCTTACTTGCTTGAACTTCTGCAAACTTTTGTTTTGTATAAATTATACATGTAAAATTTGAATTGTCTGAATTGCTATCCATGTAGGAACTGACTAATAATACATTTGATGATTTTGATGTCAATATTCTTAAATAAACTCAGTCAGTAGATTTGTTAGTACATGTATTACTGATACAGCTTGTAACATGAACATTACATTTCTATTCTGTTCAAATCTTCAACTATTTTGTGATGAAGTATTGATTGAAATGTTCTTAAGTGTACAAAAGGATGTTTATATTCACATTTTTCCCTAATTGCTAACTTCAGGTATCAATACCAGACTGCTGTAGCATGGACAATAGGATGATACTGGAACAACCAAGCTAAGCAAGTGCCATCAGAGACAAAAAAAAAAATCATTTATCTTTCTCCTCACCATTTACTTTTATGGAGCTTTATGAAAAATTAAAATGGTTCATCTTAACTATGTGTTGTTGTTTGTTACCTCTGGTAAGTGCTACAATTAAGACGCTTCAATCTGGTGCAAGTAACTAGTTTTGGAAACACCATCATGGTTTTAGCAATAATATAATTACTCTTAAAGACAAAATGTTTCGATAGAAATGTACAGATATACGTTTTCATTTCGATAAGATACTTACTACAATGAACACATTTTGAGTATTGTTGTGTCTAATTTTGAGTATTTTTTTACTAGTGTCTATTGTTATCCTATATAACTTTTCTTTTGTATTTACACAGAAAACCCCACAGGAAACCCCACAAGTGGAGAAGTCTAGACATTCAAATGACCAACTTAGTTTGAACTTATTTGCCATTATGACAACTATGTAAACATGTTGAGATATCAATTTTATATTTCTACTACATGTAGTTTATGTCTGTCTGATGAACAATATCATCACTGTCTTTATCGTTATTTGAAAAATACAAGTCCAGCTGTAATCATTACAACAGAAATAATTAAAAATTGGAAGAATCAACTTAAATCAAAATTTCTGAAAATTGTGTTTTTTTCAAACTGAGTTATCTACCCTGACATCTGAAAATGAATATTCAACAATGCTTGTAGTTGCATTTATAACACTTCTTCAATAGATCAGAACTTACAAAATGTGCATAAAATATTTTTTTCATTCAATGCTTCTCGAGTTCAATTCTTAATAAATAAAAATTTATGTTTTTAAGAAATTTCAAGGTTTGGTTGACACGGCAACTTTAAAATGCAAAACGAAATTAAATTGCTCTGACATTTTATCACAGAAGCTTTTTCAGATTCCTAGTATATATTCTGGTGGTTGACTTATCTACTTGTTTTGGCATCAACTGTGAATGAGTAAATTTCTGACATATACGTATTCTTAGGTTCCTACTCCAGTACAGTTTACAGAATTATGAAGTTTGGAAATATTTTTTTATTCATTTTCATCACCCAAAATAATTTCTAATGAAAGGAAATTAATTTTTTTTTCAAATATTCAATTTACGGTAACATCATTATTGATAAAACTTGATTTTTGTCAAAAGATGTTAAAAAAAAAACAAACTTGTATGCCCATGTTTATAAATATTTGGGGTTGGTTACCAAAATGTTGGCTAAATAAGGGGTGAAAATTCATGTTGAAGCAAAAATACAGATTTTCTTTAGTTTCATTAAAAGTTCCTGGGATATAAGATGCATTCCAAAACTTAAATTGTGACTTTTTTAAAAAATAAAATCAGTTATGGTGAACACATAATACGAAAAAGCCTCGAAATGAAAATAGAAAGCTATGTGATGTTGAAAGGAACCCCACCAATTATTTCTAGTAGATAAATTCCCTATGTAACCAACATGAGATCACACGGAATATGGCCTTTTGCTGTACCTGTAACATAATACACATATCTAATAATTTTAGAAGTACGTAAAGTGCATGTACATATTCTTAATCGTGCATATATCCGAAAGAAACATCCATAACTTTGGGGAGTATGCGCGCTCTTAAAAAGAGCAGCGACCCGCGATCTCGAAAATTATACGGAAAATACAGGGGTAGTAAACATGATTTTATCTGTGTCTCATACGTAGTTATCTGATATATGATACGCTATGGTACGAAATACAATACAGTATTTTTAAAACCGTGAATCTATATATAAAATAACCTTAAGTAATCAGGTATTCTCAGGACTACATTAGGGTTTGATAAGAAATAAACAGCTTGCTGTAAACAAAGCAATAAATGTTGTGTCTATTGAATTTTTATCCATATTTGTAAAGCATCAAACAGATTGACACTTGGCAGCATTATATTGAGAATATACGAGTTAACCTAAATCACTATAAAACTCCTGAAATCATGTAGAATGACACCTTATTCTTTTGAATTATTACAATTGTTATGCTACAGTAGGCGACAAGTTGCTAGAAAAATTATTGTAGACAGCTACTACCCACCAAACCAGTTCCGACATCGTTGCATGCCACGTTTTAATTCATTCCATTAGAGGCACAGTACAGAGAATGCATGCACTTGATGTTGTTATGAAATTAGGTGATAAATGAAAATTACGAAATCTATTTAGTTATGGGGGCCAGAGCATATGTACGTCTAGATTTTAACTTTTCTTTCGATCACTTTGAATTTTCCTCAATCGCCTCCTAGGCTTCCAAATTAAGGCCCATAGCATCACTGACGAGTCATAAAAGGATGATGCAGCTGTGTGATGTAGCATCACTGACGAGTCACAAAAGGATGATGCAGCTGTGTGATGTAGCATCACTGACGAGTCACAAAAGGATGATGCAGCTGTGTGATGTAGCATCACTGACGAGTCACAAAAGGATGATGCAGCTGTGTGATGTAGCATCACTGACGAGTCACAAAAGAAGATGCAGCTGTGTGATGTAGCATCACTGACGAGTCACAAAAGGATGATGCAGCTGTGTGATGTAGCATCACTGACGAGTCACAGAAGGACAAAACAGCTGTGTGATGCAGTTTGTTTTCTTTTTTTTTTGGCTATATGTATCAAACTTTAAGATATTAAACGGTGCTTTGCACATCTATCTTTTGTACAATTCTTACGATATAATGTGTTTCAATTAAACAATGTTTGACCGACATAACCAACACTTCATTTTGACTTGAAACGACTTTGAGTCTCTGTATCTCTCAACGAAAAGATATATTGTCCTGATATATATATATGCCCAGCACCATGAAATACTCCGTCCCCTCTGACTATATAGGAATCAGTGGGGAAGGCTTCGTATTGAGAGGCTAACTAATGCACGAGAAGTAACAGTTTTTTTTTTAAAAGACAGAAAGTTATTAGCAAGGCAGATTGCACGAAAAACAATATATTGAAGGCGTTTTATTCTGTTTGTGTAAATATTGACGCTACCAACTTGGTAAGAAACAATGTTCTGCTTTTGGTTTTATTATTTGGAAAGTCAAACGCTAATTATGCTAATCGATTGGTCCTTTGTTACAGATCTACTGTACACATTGACTGGAGACGGCTCCTATAAGATACTCTACACAATTAACGGCAAGTTTCCGGGACCCTCAATAATTGTTTATGAAGGACAGGAGGTGAGCTTTTCCATGCATTATACACGTGTTTGCAAGACATTAATCTATCATCAGCATCTTTAGATATCAGTATATGATATTTTATGTGGTGAAAATTTAAGCAACTCTACTGCGACAGAGAAACCATGTCATCAACTTTGTGGTTCTTTTCTTTTTTTTTTTTTTTTTTCTAACTTTGTATTTCACTTCATTGTACAATAATCAATTTGTCGATAAGCAAAACAGAAAATGGTAGCATAGCATTGATGTTTGCTAAATCTTATTTTATCCCTTTTCTAGTTGATAGCCCTTCCTTGAGTTTCATATAAATTTCCGTATAAGTAAAGAAAACAAACGCTGGCTCCATTTACCAAAGGTAACCTAAACATGCCTTATCTCAGTAGACTTTTTTTCAAAATCTACATCATCTTTCTATGTTATATAGTCGATGTTCAATATTTCATCTTAATGGTACCTCTTACTATTTTAATATCCGTTTTACCAAAACATGGCGTAACGTCTAGTACAGTTTTAGATACATGAGGTAAGTGTAGGAAGGTGACACACGAAAGGAACAAAGCATTACAAAACATACAAGTAAATAACACCTATGAATAGTTTAGAATTAGATAAAGTAGAGCTTAACAATGAATTAAACTCGATCATACAGCTGTTTTGTTCCTCTAGTCTAGACGGAGGTGCAGCGACCTCATAATTAAAGAAAATTTCGTGATTTGTATAAATGTGTATATTCTGAAACCAACCTCCTATTTCCGTATAATATTTTTGTTATTTCATTGTATGTATCGTTTAAAACGTAAAATCCAAAGTTGAATATACCCACCTGTGCTCATAGATGACACAATGAATTTAGAGTTCGCCATAATGAGAACTTAAGCAAGAGATCGAGATATACCAATGCTTAAGGGTTCGCAGCTATATATTTTCTCGATTTAAATTACGAGTATGCGTTAGTTTGTTATTCGACAATAGTTTGTTAAAAGGTTTACAAGTGACGTAGGTCTGGTCTGTCAATTTTCAAAAATTGTCTTGGGCATAGCGCCATTGTATGACGATCTCGGATCGTGTCCCACGCACGCTATAACGATACCACAACCAAACTTGTCAATGATAGGTAGAGCGTTAACTTTGACCCAATCAGAGATGAGTACTCGGCGCTACGCTATCTTTACATGTAAACACACACCTAGCGGCGTCATAGGAGTGTTACGAGATGTCAATTAAGGAACATTTTTAGCGCAACGGGACGCATCTTTATGCCACTGGAATGCAGATGCCTCAGTAGATTATCTCGGTCTATTCTTGTATTGTTCCACCAGTGTCTTGTGTATGGTGTGTGTGTGTGTGTGTGTGTGTGTGCGTGCGTGCGTGTGTGTGTGCGTGTGTGTGTGTGTGTGTGGTTGTGTGTGGGTGTGCGTGTATATATATATGTGTGTGTGTGTGTGATGATGGCGGTAGTAGGGTGTGCATGGTGTGGTGTGTGTGCGTGGTGATGGTGGTGTGTGGTGTGTGAGGGTGTGTGTGTGGTGATGACGGTGATGGGGTGTGTGTGGTGTGTGAAGGCGTGTGTGTGGTGATGGTTGTGTGTTCATGTGTGATGGTAGTGTGTGTGGTGATAGTGGTGATGGTGGTACGCGTGCTGGTGTTGATGGTGAAGGGGGGTGTTGTGTGTATGTGTGAGGGTGTTTGTGGGGTTTTTTTTTTTTTTTTTGCGGAAGTAATGAACGTTGTAACCATCGGTCGGTCTGTATTGTCAGCCTTAGTCACTTTAAGGGATATTGTGCTCTACTAAGGTTATGTACCTCAAAACTAGTCACTGACACGACAATAAAGACCTTTACACTAGTAGAGCGAAACAAGAGAGGAAACAATGATTTCCATGTTGCTTCCGGGTCTGGAAAACTCAAATTCTACTAGTTACGGAAACACATTCCAACCTGATTGACGGTGCTTTGTGGACATTAGGAGTTCTAAGTGTAGCTGCATTGTCCTGCTTCACTTATTGTTATGTTAGTGGCATACATTAAAGACGTTAAAAAAATCAATGACTCATTCAAGCATTTTTTTCTATGGCTTCATTTAGTGGGGAGGAGGATATAATTATCTATATATATAAAAGAAGAAAAATTAGAAGGAAAAAAACTAATGTACGAGGACCTAAGGTCGTCAATAGCGGTCAAATTCTCGACAATTACCGTGCCTACAATTTATCTATCGTATGGTATAATATACAACAGTGTGGCAGGATTCTTCTGGTTCCCTTCTGTTTCTATATAAAAGAATAAAGGATGACAGTAAGAGATGAGTGTATAGAGAGAAGTCTGAACTAGCGACATAAGGATCGTGGTAGCTTTAAGTCGATATGGCACATAACATATAGTCGGCACATTGCAACTGTAGTCGTCTCCTTGGTACATTTGAATAAGTAACATCACCTCAGCATAAAGCTGATGAATGATTTCATGAAATTTCTGGACAAATTAGCGTTACATAAATTAAATACCAATTTACATAAATCATAATGAGTAAGGAGAATCTGTATACAAAATTAGAAGAAATAAAAATGAACGAGAAAGATGGAAATTAATTATCATCTCCGTTTGGCAGCTTTGATGTTTTCTAATCCATTATTTGTCAAAACACTGCAGTCTTCATGTCTGTAAAATACAAATAACGTTAAACATAAGACTGCAGTTAGTTTAAAACACTGATATTAAAACTTTTCTTAAATATCATTCTAAAATATACTTCCCCTCTTTCGTAAATCGCCATACACATTGGCAAAATCTGACTGGGTGGCATAACAGTCACATAAAGGCAAGGTCAGGCTCTTCAATAACCATACCGCAAACCTGGGGCTTTCCCATTATTTTTTAGGACTTCCAACTTTTGAAATGATTTATTTGTTAATGATACGGGTTTGTTTTTCAATACTGTGGTCATGTATATGTGATCACTGACTGTACCTATATCGACATGTTACTATGTGCTAAAGCATCATTTTGAAACTTTCGAACAAATGCTATAATTGTCCTATGTAACACTGCATAAGAGGTTGTTACCGTTAGGAACAAACAAGCGTAACTATAATGAAGCTTCCAAATTGTATAACATCAATAAAATTAACCAATAATACAGGTGGTAGTTTATGTAACAAATGGCCTGCTTATGGAAGGAATAACGTTCCACTGGCATGGTATCTATCAGAGGGGCACTCCGTGGATGGATGGACAAGACATGGTCAGTCAGTGTCCCATCAGTTTCGGACGAACATTTACATACAGGTTAGTTCACTTTGCTGGAACAACTGCTCCGACAAATCAGCTTTAATTAATAAGATGAGGAACCTGTAACGCTTTCTAGTTTTGTCCTATGTGACGACTTGTATCTCTCTGGTAACCGTAACAGTAGCAGTTATTGAAAACTTTTACTAAATATCAAAATAATTCCTTACATTTTATATAACTATAATTCATTTTGTTTAACTGAAATGACAAGCCACCTTTATTATACAAGCGTTATGGTAATCACTCGTTGTTGATAATGCCCTGCCGTCGTGTTGTTTACAGCTATTGTTGATGTTATTTCATTACTTCTGACCCATTTATCTTGTACTACGTTAGATTTATTGCGGAACCAGCTGGGACCCACTGGTACCACTCACACCTGGGAGTTCAAAGAACTAACGGTTTGGTTGGAGCCCTAATAGTTCTTCCCAAACCTGGACATGCAAAGGTACGTTAAACGATAATGTGAAAAAATGGACTTCATTCGTCGTATATATCTTGTTTATCAATAAACTTTATCTAATTTACAACAGTTGCGTTAGTTTTATTGACTTCTATCAATCAGTCTTGAAGGTCTGGATGAAAGGGTCCCGCTGTGGGGGGAAACCGGAGTACCCGGGAAAATCCATGTGATTGGGCAGGTGACTCCATTCCTTTTCAAATCCATTCCGTAAATCGAACCCCGGACGGCTTAGTAAAAGACGAGTGCGTTTCCATTGCGCCAAGCGACCACCCTTGTTTATATCGTTCCCTCACATTATCTAAACTTGAATTTGAGTTGAAAGTGTGAATCAAGATGGTCAAACATCACAGGTGTTATCTGTATATACGAAATGATTTAGGCAATTTGCATATTACATGAAAGTAGTAACAAGTAATTTGATGATTTGTAGGCGTCTGATCATCACGAACCTATAGAAAAAGAATTCGTTGTGCTGGCACAGGACTGGTTACACCAATCATCGACAGAGCATACAGAGTACGTCAATTGGGACCTCCGCAAGTAAGAAATTCTAATGATATTGCCAGTTTCTGCTTTGAATACCAATGATAAGGTTTACTAGAGTCATAATAACCAGTTGAAAGCATTATTTACAGTAGACTATATAAGTAATGGTCTGTGTAATGATATATGTGGACATTACCATCTAATACGCAAAACATCCAACCCCACTTACCTATTGTTGATGTCGTTTGACTGTGTAATTTGTTTTACGTTTTTACTTCAGATTTGTTGTTAATATTGCTAAGCCATGCACCTTGTGTACTTTTATACCTGAATATTTATATTTCAAAACTGTCCCGATGACAACACGCTTTAGAGACTAAACTAGTCAACATCCTTGATTACAGTCGATTTACCCAGCCAAACGATGTCAAGTTCATTTGTACCTATTGCTAACATTAACTGTGGTTAAAGAAGATCATTGCAGACAAAATATCACCAATATATGCATAACTAAAAATTGTAGGTCAACAATATGGCGGGCATTTCGCCGATAAAAGGTCAATTGTTGCCACAAACAAAAGCCAACTATTCAAGGAATGTATATATATATATATATTACTTTTCAACTTTTGCAACTTCAAATTATTTATTTGTGTAACACGAAATTGAACTTTGTGAATGTGACCTCTTCCGAAAACCGGAAGCTGACTTTTGACAATACTTTCTCCTGCTTTCAAAAGTAATTGATGTAAATGACCAAATATCATTAGCCAGTATTTCTTGGCTACTGAAAAGAATCCATTTAAATATTTTAACACAACTGACCCCAATGTCATTTAAATTAGCAAACCTAGTAGCTAATCTCACACGTGAAATGACAAGATTCTATATCTTACGGAAATCAAAAAGAAGTTATTCAAAGTTATTTACCTAAAATAGCAAATACTCATCACTTTAAAACACTACTGACCCGTGCATCTTACATGTGAAATGTCAACATTCTAGACACAGTTGAACTTGATTGATGATATATGTGAGGATTGGGGAGGGAGTGGGGTGGTGGTGGTTATTTTCAAAAAATAATAAAAAGAAAAACAAATCTAAATGGCCGCCATGACATCATATCCGTGTAACCCTGCATGCGTTAACTTAATAACGGATTAACACAATTGAAATTATAGGCTTGAGATTTAGGTATAAGAAGCTCTGATCATTGGTTATCATATTAGTCAAATAAATGATCTTGACCAGCATTCAATGTCACAGGGTAAGTTTTGTTAAAATCTTTCTATAGCTTCTAACCCATATTTAAGAGACACAAGGTGAAGATAATTCGTCAGTTACATACTTGGGCTTATAGTTATCGATAGATAAAAGTATAAATATTTTACTCGGCCAAAATTTCGGTTTTCGTTAGGGGTGACAATTCAGAATGGCTATATATTCATAACAAAATTTGAAAAACTTCATATTCAAAAATGTTTAGAATATTGATATTTAGCCATCAGATTTTATATCTTTGAAGAGCTCAAATGATGATATATGGAAGGAGGGATGCCACGAAAATCCGCCATCTTGGATTTTAATGTAACGAAATCAAGATGGCGACTCTAACAACTTCCAACCAAAGGTCCTCCATCCTCCAGTTTTCATGATATGAGTTTGTGAAATAATCTTTTTTTAACTTACCATTTCTGCATTTTTTCGGATTCTGTGTGTTACAGTATAGATTTAGTGGATAATTGGATCAGGACAGTATAGATTGCGTTCCTGAAGGGAAGTAGATAAGGAAGATGATTAGATATAATGAAAGAAGATAATCTGAATTTAACAAAATACAATTAAAATATATGTGGCCTTATTTGTCCTTGCATTCATTCTGTTTCTTCGATGCGTTTGACGGACAACATTGTATTTGAGTGAAGGAACGAGTATTTTTTATAAATCACATGTGCCATAATTCAAAATAAATATTTATTTTTTCTTCTCTACTTTTCATTTTCAAAAGCAAGAGAGAGAATTTTAAAAGGGTATATACTAACCCGGGAACGTTTCCGTTACTACATACATAGTGACTAATGAAGAAATGTATACATCCCCTTCATAAGTGAATCTTCAACCTCTTCTAAAGTCTCCTAAACTTTTCACGTACACTTGCAAGCCAATTGTACTACGTTAAATATAATTAGACCAATCATAGTACTTCAACCAAAAATGCAACCAATTGTAGTAATGCAACCAAAAATGCAACCAAAAATGCAACCAACCAAAAAAATGCAATCAATCGTAGTACGTTAACTAAAAAGGAATGTGTGACGTCATTGTTTTTGTTTTCCTATCATCTCAGGAGTATGTGAAGTCATCATTTTTGTTTATATATCATATTTCGAATGACGGGTTGGTGTTGACGTCATTTGTGTTTTGGGCTTTAGCAGAGTATGTTATTCAATAGACGGTTTGGTTTTGATGACGTCACTGATGTTTTTGACCATGGTAGAGTACATTTCGACTGATTGATTGGTTTTGAGACATCAGAAGTTTTCGGCTGTACCGTACAGTGTATAGCACAGTAGGCCTACATGACTTGTAGCGCGTTTAGTCGTGCACGGAAGAAAGTCGTGTACCGGATATGTGCTCAGAAACGAGGAGAGGACATTAGAATATGGGATACTAGCAGGTGCGTTGTAACCGTGGCCTGTTGACAAACATAAATACGAGAAAAACACCAAAGAAAACTGCAGCTTTCGGTGAGTGCCATACCTATTAGAGGTTTATACATGTTTTGTTGAATTAATGAGTTATTTTACCTATTTTGCTGTGCGGTAAACAGCCGTAAACAATGCCATTACCTGTTCTATTTTTAGAGTCGCTACTGTACTGCACAGGTGTATACACATGTTTACAGGTGCGCGTTTGTTATTGTTAACTAGTAAGGTGGTGACGCGACATTTGTTTTGTTCAAGGAATGATATTGCATAATATGTAACACTGTTAAAAAACGCAATAGTAGTTAAGTAATTACTGTTTATAAGCTGGAATAATTATGAATAATTATAATGAGTAACATAGAGTGGTTACATCTATTGTGGCTTATAGTAGTACACGCAAAATGGGTGACGGTGTAGCGTTGCTAGTAATGGCGTGTTCTTGTAAGATGTTTACTGCAATGTGTTAAGAATAATAGGCCATATTTTGTTTGTGAATAGTGTATGTCAATTATATTGTAGTTTGACCCGATATTGTTGGTGCCGGTGGGGTCTCATATTGACGTTTCCGGAGTGTTACAGACCGGTGGCCAATGCTATTGACCGGTGATGTAGACCAGGGTCCATGTAGTCCTCCAACTGGGGATGGTTATTTGGGATGATCGTCCAGCCCTCGAGTCTGTTGACGTAGGATTCGTCCTCGGCCTGGGAGGGTTAAGTTTGTGGAGTACCTTGAGTAGCTGTAGTAGCAAGGGACTCAGTACACTGAAAGTGGAACTCAGCCCACTAGTAAATGTGAGGACGTTTGACTGTCAGTGTGCACCATTGTGGATTACTGCCCACTTGTGATTTGGAGACATTAGTGTTTGTCGTTAGACTGTTGTATAGAAAGTGTGGACCACGCCCATCTTTACTGATGTATGTTGTTGTGTTCTATCAATGGAGTGAAAAAGTGAGAGAATCTGGTGTTAAGTGACTTTAGACCATTTTATATCATTGTAAATAAATACATGTATATAAAAGAACAGTTGTCAGTGATATGTTATCAGCATCAATGCAAAACAGCTTTTCCCCTTACACATAGTAGGTTGGAATTTTGCTTTCAAAAACTTAATTTTTACAGTTTCTACTACAAAATATTACTATTTAAAAGATGAAAAAGAAAATTATTACATTTCGTTCAATAAAGATATTTTCTATTAGCGTTTTTTTTTTTTGTATTTTCATTTAAAAAATTACATCTTTATTTTTTTTTCAAACTATAAAGTAATGACCAAAAACTCAAACTGTTGTGTACTGCTGTGTTTCTATTGTTTGCTATTTTTTGCTGCTGTTTGCTGTTGTTTGCTGCTGTTTTGCTGCTTTTGTTGTGCTGTTTTCTGTTGTTTGCTTGTATTTACATGCAACCACTGAGTTTGTGGTCTTTTAAATTCACAAAATTTTAACATTGTACAATTTTTACTAACGTACTATTACTATTTAACATTTTATACTGATAAAAAACTTTTTTCTTACTTAGGAAAACATTACTTCCAAAAATCAGTTTTGGCCTCAAAATCTGTGATTTGAAATTTCCAGTATTCAGTGATATGCTTTTGATGGCTACGGGTATCCTGGGTTGTTTGCAGCTCTAAAGAACCCGTATTAAAAGGATATGACCGATGCCCAATCGACTCATTTTTGTCCGCTGCAGTTTCATGGTCTAATAGAGCATTTATTTACATAGTTATTCCCCGTGACCTTGTTGATCACGAAACTATCTACATAATAACTGTTTGCATCGAAATCTTTTATAAAAATATTCCGTTAAGTCAGACATCGTCATCCCTCTTTTTCTGTGAACCTTATCAAATATATAGTGCTGGCCATACCCTAGAAAGTTAAGTTGCTGTAATCTAATGGAGTTACATGTCAACATTATACACTGTTTGTTTAAAACGTTAACGAAAGCGTCGTGAAAGGGGGGGGGGGTAATCCAAACGGATCGTAATACTTTTCATTTCTTTCTTCGTCTGTGTATACAGTATTACAGATTAACGATCATGGCGACGTTGATGTACGAGGGAACCTCTTTCTGGTATAGACCCCTTTAAAAAAATAGGTGAAATCTTTTTAGGGTTATTACTATCTCCAAAGTATTCATTTTTGAGGCATTGAAATCAAATAAGACCTGTCTATCGGCAAACATGATAATATTGAATGTTTGAGTCTAGTCTCCACCGAAATTAATTGCCAGAGACATATTTCCACTCTTTATAAGGTGAAGTGTGCCTACATCGGAAAGATCGGGCGTCAGGACGAATCAAACTAAAGCCGTTGCCGTATTCTTTCCTCGAGATGTTATTACCTTCGTCATTGAAATAATTTCTGTGCTACTAACATCTAAATTGTTTTAGAAATTACATACTCTACCAAAGCCCAATGATGTTATCCAAACCAAGCCATTTTTGGTTGACGTACTACGATTGGTTGAATTTTTGATTGACGTACCACGATTGGTTGCATTTTTAAATAAAAGTACTACGATTGCTTGCATTTTTGATTGACGTACCACGATTGGTTGCATTTTTTAATAAAAGTACTACGATTGCTTGCATTTTTGGTTGACGTACCACGATTGGTTGCATTTTTTGTTGCATTACTACGATTGGTTGCATTTTTGATTGACGTACTACGATTGGTTGCATTTTTGGTTGCATTAATACGATTGGTTGTATTTTTGGTTGACGTACCACGATTGGTTGCATTTTTGGTTGCATTACTACGATTGGCTGCATTTTTTATTCACGTTCTACGATTGGTTGCATTTTTGATTGACGTACTACGATTGGTTGCATTTTTGATTGACGTACTACGATTGGTTGCATTTTTGGTTGACGTACCACGATTGGTTGCATTTTTGGTTGCATTAATACGATTGGTTGCATTTTTAGTTAACGTACTACGATTTATGTGATATTAGTTGACATACAACTCTTGGTTTGCGCGTGTACGTGAATGGTTACAGGAGACTTTAGAAGAGGCTGAATGGCTAGAAGCTTCACTTTGTGGAGGGGATGTATTACATTTCTTCATAAGTCACTATGTAGGTAGTAACGGAAGTGTTTCCTGGTAAGTACGCAATCTTTTAAAGTTCTCGTTCACATGCTTTTAGAAATAAAAAGTAGAAAAGAAAAAATAAATATTTATTTGAACAGGTGTTTTAGAAACATTCACTGGTTCCTTCAATTAAATATGATGTTGTCTGTCTAACGCCTACACCTCCAAGAAATAGAATACATGTAAAGGCAAAGGCTAAGGCAAAGACAAAGAAAACTATTGATCTTTTTACAATAATATTGTTGTTTTTCTTTTTTTATTTTGTTAAAATGTACTGTTAAGTTCAGGTTCTCCTCTTTTATGATATCATACCATCACTTCAAGCACTCAGTCCATGCTGCCCTTATCCACTTTCACTTCAACCACGCGATCAGTGGTGTAACACACGTTGCAGAAAACAACACAGAAATGATAAGTAACTGATGATATCGCACACTCTTTTGGTGATAATGGGAGGATAGAGGGTCTTTGGTATGGAGTCGCTATCGCCGCCATCTTGTTTTCGTTCATTCAAGATGGTGGAATATCGTCACCCTGTGTTTCTTGATTATTAGGTAGAAGCCATACAGTGATTTCAATAAAACTTACCCCTGTGACATTGAAAGTTGGTCAAGAGCATTTATTTAACTAACATGATAGCCAATGATAAGATAATCGCAAAAAAGAAGATATGATTCATACAGAAGTGACTACCTCTGGAAAAATCATGGTTGACGTTACCGGTTAATACTCATCAGGGGCATTTTTATAAACAAGCGTATATACATAATATCTTCTTTTTTCCCTCATTTTTTTTCGTATAAACCTGATAAACACTTAAATCATGTAACAAAACCCGATTCCTATTATATATGTTTATTTCTCTGAATAGCACGATCCCCGTATAATATGTCACAGGACCTCGGGACATTATACTCTCCTTATTGCCATATCAATAAACATCTCACGCCATGGGATTACAATGAACATTTTTTTCTGTTTTAGGTACGCATTCGGTCCCGATGATCCAAGATGTTCTGAAACCTCCGATAAAGTGAAGAAAGACTTGGATGGGTTAACGGTCTTTCAGTCCGGGGTCATTAACGGGAGAGGTATATATATATATATAATTTAAAAAGATAAAAACTTTGTGTATCGTATATACAGAGAAAATAATTCTCTCTCTATATATATATATATACACTATTACACAGGTCACGCCTGAATCAATTGATAAACGTTCAACATTGTTTTATAGTGAAAAACACCTTCATATAACGTTATTGTTTACATGATGAATGACAGTGAAATATTCTTTTTTTTTTTTTTTTTTTGTAAATCTGATTTGAAAGGAAGCAACAAGCGGACACTGATATATGGAGTTAGGTGAACAACTTTGTCCGTGATGGTTCATGTCTGAAATAAAAATAGTATGTTGTTACCTTTAACTTTTACTCTTTTAATGATGTGAAATATGATGATAGCGAATGTTGCGAGAGCATGTTGAAGATTGGTCCGAAGCTCTTTGAAGTTCTTTAAATTCGCATTAACGAAATCCACTTTTTACAGTATGCAGTCTCACATGAAGACCAGATTTGATAGTACGATGAATGATGGGTAGTAATTTTTGAAAGGCTTAGTTGCAAATATTATTACATTTCCTGTACATAAAAAGTACTGGACTTGTTTGGTAATGAAGGAAACCTCGCCTGTACATTATGCAACGTTTCAGTAATACAATCACTTAGACGGATTAATAATTTAATGATAAGGACACGGACCTCCTCTGTTTATATTGGATTCGTAAACTTCACAAGAATTCATATAAATATCATTTTAGTACTGGGTCGTATACACCGATCATACTTTGTGTACCCTCTTTTTCTCTCCCGTCTTAACTACGTTCACTAATTCCTTGTTCTGTATATCCTATCATAAAGGTTTATCAAGTGACTGATTCGTCGCCTGCTTTGTTTATCTCTTTAAGCATTTTAAAAGGTGGTACTTTAGTGTCTTTAATTGTTTTTTGGCGTTTTGTTAAGACAAACTTTTAGAATCGACAAAGAATCACATTTCTGGAATTACTATGGATAACACTGCGCTCGAGATTTTTCTAACTTTTCTTTAGAGGACAACCTTCCCCCCTCCCCTCTCCCCAAGTGACAATTTTTTTATATACATACACATTGTTGTGACTTTTGATTGACGTTTTGTAAGGATTGATAATTTTTTTCTAACAATAATTATTTAGCAGCGCTTTGCTTCGTTATCGTTTCATCAATTTAAGATTGTATTTTTTTTTTTTTTTTTTTGGATAATTGACATTAGTTTTGTGTTTTTATGTTTCATTGTAGGACATAATTACCCTGAGTTTGGTGATACCCCGATGTACCCTAATTTACCTTACGAAACCTTTGTGGTCAAGAGTAATAAAACATACCGGTTCCGATTCATCAATACCGCCAATGGATTTACTTTAAAGGTGTCAGTGGATAAGGTGAGTATCGCTACTACCAAGTAGCCAGCGCTAGCCGTATACTTTCAAATAAAAACATTAAACAGTTAGGAAAACAATTAATCGATAAATAGAAACTTTATTTATTTTACAACAATTGCGAAACAAGTTATGTCAGCTTATACAAATCACTATTGTTGGCCCGGATGTAAGGTCCTGAATTTACTGTCTCTCGCGTCGCCAAATTGTGTTATATTCCTACATGAACAATATTATTTCCTATATCAGTTATCTCGGCATATTTATCTGCACTAACTTATTTATAACTCGTGGTACGATCGTTCGATGTTAAGTAAAAATCATTAAGCATGTTGATATGCTTTATTTGTCTAAAAACATGACTATATTGAAGTGTCACGTGTCATATGCATAGTAAGTGGTGGCAAGGAATAGGTATCAGTTACCATGTGTCGTCAAGGTGATGTCACGAGCTCCTTGTAATTGTAAAGCACATATGAGTTAAATCGAACGCTTTTTCATGCATTAATATGTTTCGTTGGAAATATTTCTTAAGCATAATTTATGTCTTCCAGCACAAATTAGAATTGATAGCGACAGACGGTCGAGGCGTGCGTGGGGTAATGTCAGATTTCATCACCACCGTACCTGGGGAGAGAATAGATTTTCTACTACGGGCAACACAAACCCCAGATAACTACTGGTTCCGCGTGGAGGTATTTTTATATCAAATAGTTTATCGCCTTTTATTGGGTAAATCAAAGTGAAAAAAATGACAATTGCAAATAAACGGGATAAAATGTCAGTGTACTTTTCCTCTTTTTCTGTTTATACTCATGCTGGTTGTGACGTGTCTATCTCGTCTGTTAGGCTAATGGTGCTGGACAAGTGAAGGGTATTGTTCTGTACGACACTGTGGAAAAAGGAGTACCTGTCTCCTCCAGGAAGCGATGTGTAGAGACGGATCCTTGTACAAATATCAATTGCATGGTCAAGTAAGCATACAAGATGTAGACGAAATATAGTTTTACAACAACTTAATCGTCGGCAGCCATGTTGGGTTGGCGTTTAATACTGAGGACAATTATTGGAGATGCTAACATGCATACCTGTAGCTTTATTAATGATTGGCAGTAATCTCTTTACAAGATTTGGGTCAGGTCTAACTATTTAATATGTAATGATATGTTATGCTCTGTGAACGTAAGCCAAAATCGTGTTCTAAGATACAAATATCCATTTAATCTTTCAGTAAACACTTGTTAGCATAATACCGGTAAATACTCTGAGCTGTTTATGATCATGCCCGGTGTAGACTGAAGGAGTTTTTAGTGTTTCAGAATGTTCTCGTTATGTATTACTACATATTAATTGTCGAGGATAGATCTTTAAATTTTCAACTTTTCTCGAGTATAAATCAGGATACCTGTCTGATTATCTCGATTTGCTTATTTTCGAGATGTACAATATATAAAATCAAATATATCATCATCATCATCATCATCATCATCATATTCATCATCATCATCATCATCATCATCATCATCATCATAATCATCATCATCATCATCATCATCATAATCATCATCATCATCATCATCATCATCATCATTAATACATCTTTTAAATAATCATCATCATTATCATCATCATCATCATCATCATCATCATCATCATCATCATCATCATCATCATCATCGTTCCCGAGTACAAAATAGAAAAAGGATTAATTTAGATTGACATTCAAAAATAAAAGGCACTTTGCAATGTAGAAACAAAATTTGTATTTTTTATTTATTTATTTTTTTTTTTTTTTGTCAAATTCGTTCTCTTCTGCGCCTTTTGTGAAATATATGGAGTCACTCTATGCAGATTGTGATTATGTTGTAAATCTTTTAATATTCTAACAGGCAAAAACGTTACTTAAAGACATTCATTTTTGGTCCTGATATAAATCTGAGAACATGTGATTATATTCATGTTGTTTGTTTTCCTTAGAATTTACGTCTTACATTTTGGGAAATATCAAGATCTCGTGACTTGGTCGAATACCTACCCAAATTTTTATCAAAATATGGATATGAAATGTAGTTAAATATGTACTGAAACAGAACTATCTATTTTCTGATTAATCTACGTATTCATTTTTTCTTTTGTTCATTTTTGTCCTGTTTGTTGAATTAGAGTTTGTATTATTGTTCTGTTGACATGTTGGTATTCAATTGTTGTTTTAACACATATAAATATAAACTTTATTTGTTTTACAACAATTGCGAAACAAGTTATGTTAACTTATACTAATCACTCTTGTTGGCCCGGATGTAAGCGTGCGAGGAGTCTTATTGTGGGAGGAAACTGGAGTACCCGGGGAAAACCCACGTGGTCGGGCAGGTGACCCCACACCTATTCACGTCCGTTCCGGGAATCGAACCCCGGTCGGTTAGGTGAAAGGCGAGTGCAGGTTTTAACACATAACATTGGTACTAGCTTATTAATTAAAAGTAGACCATTGGTCCTTGTTGGGCAAGGATGTTAAATCCGGATTTACTAAGTGCTTAATAACCTTTTTCTGAGATATACTACAGATGTGATTGTTAATACTAAGTGGTGAATTCATGTTTCAGAATGTACCCTCCACACTACAATATCATTTGCACATCAATATCAGAGCTCAGCTTAGTCAGCTCTGACCTCGAGGAAAACTTTGTACCTAAATATACAGATGACGGGACATTTAGAGAAATATTTCTTAGTGTACATTTCCAAGGTAAGAAGCCTCGCATTCGAAGTGAACATCTCCGTGCAGGTAAATATGTCCCAAAATTACCCTCTGTTACATGATGAAAACAGTATAGTTTGTACCCAGGAGTCATTTTTTTCTGGTATTTCATACTGGTCAGTATAAGTTTTCCTCATATTATCCATAAATATTTATTTTTTACTATTTTTGTTGTTTTTTAAGGTAACACAGACCTCGCTCATATAAATGGAAGAAGGTTTTTGAAACCGTCAATCTCTTTACAGGTGAATAATTTCGGATGAAATTGTTTTTGTCAACACAAAATTTAAGGAGAGGGCTTTCATAGGCTCTGCCTGTTGCCCAATTCCTACTGTCAACACCACCATGACAACAAAATATTCTGAAAACACAAAATTGTAACATTTTGTTCCAATTAAAGGGAGGGAATTCTACTTACAATGTTCATAATTAATCAGTATATTTGATGTATTCATTCCGGCAGTCAAAACACCACAATTATTACAATGCTGCCATAAAATATAAAGGAAATGGTTTACACACACAATATTGACCAAATACATGTTTATTAATTTAGTATTCTTGTCCTCTCAAAAGAAGACAAATCGTGAAGAAAGTGATTTCAATTACTTTATACATTTTCAGACTTTCCCTAATATGGCTGACGATGTGGTGAATTGTAACAGCACTGACCTCCGCTGTTATAAGGAAGTCTGCTTTTGTACGCATATCATCAAAGTTGAGCTCGGTAGTACGGTCCAGTTCGTTATGGTCAACCCAGGTAAGTAGCTATATCCTTGCATTCACGAAAAGAAAACAAAACATTTATGTTCAAGCTCTGCTCTAAAAATAACATTGATTTTCTTCGTGTCAGTTTTAAACATTTCCTATAACAATGCGTGTACAAATTTCATTTGAATATCATATCTTCATCTTTTTGGTCTGATCATTTTTAAGATTTATCATTTGTTATTATTAACAGGTTCCAATCATGACCACGACTTTCTTGGTCTACAACATCCAATTCACGTGCATGGCCACACGTTTCACGTGCTCAAAGTCGCTTACTCAGAGGACAATACTCCTGCAGTATCCGTCGGCTTGAACGCTGACATCAAGTGTAATTCGGAGTTTTGTGATAAAGCCTCGTGGTCAAACACTTCTTGGGGAGGAGACAACATTCCGGGGTTGAATTTGGTAGACCCTCCCGTTAAGGATACAGTGGTGGTCCCACGGCATGGTTACACAGTTATTAGGATGATTGCTGATAACCCTGGTATTGAAACATCTTACTGTCTTCATATTATATTTCAGTGTGACCTATGATTAACGGGGTCATTAGGTTTCTGATGGTGGACATAATTTCTCAATAATTTTCCTTGCTTTTTAGCTAAAGACGTTGGACTTTCATTACTTATTTGATTTAAGGATAAAACAATCTTGATTTTTAGTGAAAAGGCGACCTGTAGCAGTTCGTAGAAGATAATCATACAGGTTTATTTCATTCGAATGTGACACTTTTGGATCAATACATACCGAATGTGATGCAGTATGTTGATAGACCAATATTGAGACATAGTAACAAAACTAACGAAGAAAGGCAATGATTGACTTAGGACCAAGTCGCTAAGCCAAACAATTCTACAGCTGTTCACTAAATGGTGTTTGGTAGCGGTATCAATAGACAGCCAGAAAATCGCGACACGGCGATAATGACATATTGTCTATTGCGTAATTTGAAAACCTGGATCGCAATGTAGACATAGATAGATACGAATTTTTATACAGAACACATATTTAAGCCTGTGCTCAATTATGACAGATAATTCCAATCTGTTACGTCATAATTATACGCTATCCATTACCCCCCTCCCCTCTCCCCATTGTCTTTACTCTTACCAGTATTGTATGTTAATATTTCAGGTTTCTGGTTCCTGCACTGTCACCAGTTCGCAGGAATGGCTCTCCTACTACAGGTCGGGGACGTGGACCAGATGCCACCAACTCCCAAAAACTTCCCCACGTGTGGCAACTTCAACTTTCCGCGAGAGGAATTTCGAGATATTATCAAAAGTATGTTTGTGCCTAAAACCTTCATATACAGTGATGTTCGTTGAATCATATTACAATACTGTCCTCAAATTTATCATATGGCGATTTTTTCACAGAAACAGAATTTTAAACGCATCATGATTTATATCATAACTCAAATTGCTAAATTTGAAAATGGTCTTTTTTAATTTTTTAAAGAGTCAAAAGCCTCCTTCACTGCTAAACCAAACGGACAGCTGAACGGTCCTTCCAGGGATCGCCAAAGCGCTTCCAGAAGTTCAGATGTACTCATGGAGGACTCAAGGACTGTTTATTACATCGTTGTAAGCGTACTTCTAGTTTCGTACATCGCTACTGGACTGTGCCTGATGTGGCAGATTTTCGATAAGAAACGTATTACTCAGAGATACCGCAAAGATGTAGGTGTAAAATATGGTAGACTTTTTGACGATAGTGATTCAGACACAACCACTGAGAAGACTAAGCTCATAAGTGTTGACAACGATTTTGTGAGTCAACAGCCGGCGATCTTTTTGAGTTTTCCCTAAAACGACGTTCATGTGAAACTCGTCGCCTCATTGATACCGAAAAACGTTTAATTTATCGTAAGAACGTTTAAGATATTACAATAAAGTTTTGCTAATGTTTTCAGCTTCAGGGGCCTTAAAAGCGGCTATTTTTATCGCCAGTATCACAATATGTCATTTTCTTTCATTTTGTTTAATACTGTATATGTGTAATAGATATCCCAACAAAATCACCACACAAGTCCACCCTTATCCCTAAAATGACAGAAGCCGAAAAAAGAGGGTGAGACTGGTGTATGATACCCTATACATCAACGATGTCGCGTACAAGCATCCATACCAGGACACGCTTTCGCAACATCCATCAGGCCTAACCTGTATCCAGATTCACGTGACACACGTGCACGCGCCCTCGACAGACGTCAGCGACAGCCCGACTTTGCATGGCGCTAGGAAAGGTACTCGAACACATCAAACAAAGAGTTTACAAATAAGTTAGATGTGAGTTTTGTGAATGTGTGTTGACTTCAGAATAAACTTTTTGAACCCTGTTGTGACTTACCTACAATAAAATAAATAAGGATGAAATTGTTGATAAATCAGTACGTTTTAAATCACATACTGAAACGTTGATTGATAAGGAAATGAGTACAGACTACGACTCGGTATTTGAAACTGATAATATACCGAACAATTGGAATGCTCACACTGTTAAACAGAGCAAGCACTTTGATAAGCTGTTTAGATAAACATAATTGCATGTATTATTGACTTAACATTAACTATGGTGTAGTAGGTATAATATCTAAACCCAGGCCAGATTTCGTAAAACCAATCTACATTGAACAAGATTTTCCTAAAGCAGTCGTTATTTTTCTCTTATTTATCATCCTTTTTTCTTATTTGGTTGTGGTCCTGTATGAGGGTATCCCTATAAATGTGTTTATGATGCCAATAGGTAGTGTTCACCTTGACAATTTGTGTGAGAAAATAACCTTAGATATCAATATTTTATAGAAGTACATGTACTACAGTTCCCGGATGATACTGTCATATTTTATAGAAGTACACGTACTACAGTTCCCGGATGTTAATGTCATATTTTATAGAAGTACATGTACTACAGTTCCCGGATGTTAATGTCATATTTTATAGAAGTACACGTACTACAGTTCCCGGATGATACTGTCATATTTTATAGAAGTACACGTACTACAGTTCCCGGATGATACTGTCATATTTTATAGAAGTACACGTACTACAGTTCCCGGATGATACTGTCATATTTTATAGAAGTACATGTACTACAGTTCCCGGATGTTATTTTTATATTTTATAGAAGTACACGTACTACAGTTCCCGGATGATACTGTCATATTTTATAGAAGTACATGTACTACAGTTCCCGGATGATACTGTCATATTTTATAGAAGTACATGTACTACAGTTCCCGGATGATACTGTCATATTTTATAGAAGTACATGTACTACAGTTCCCGGATGTTATTTTCATATTTTATAGAAGTACATGTACTACAGTTCCCGGATGATACTGTCATATTTTATAGAAGTACACGTACTACAGTTCCCTGATGATACTGTCATATTTTATAGAAGTACATGTACTACAGTTCCCGGATGATACTGTCATATTTTATAGAAGTACATGTACTACAGTTCCCGGAAATGTTAATAAAACTAATGTCATGATTTTTAGTTTTGAAAATGCAGACAGCGAACGATCAATGTTTTAGAAATTGCAGACAGATTTCGCTAGAAGAACTGATTTTGGTATGTGGAATGGAGGGATACGAAGGTTTAAAGTATGAAATAAACATTTAAGTTTTGTAAACGAAGTTACCAATGGGAATCATCACAAATACTAGATACATCTATACATGTACAATCAAAACTTTCATCAGACATCTTCTCACAATTTTAGATTTTTTTTCGATATTTCTTTAGTCTTAGAAGTTTAGCAGCATAATGAACCAGTAACAAGTCCAATTTGGCATTTTACCTTAAAACGGCACCATTACATTTTCAATTAATTCTACACTTTGTTTTGTCTCATACTTATCACAATTAAACGTTTCACTATATCACAAGAAAATGCCTGCAGCTTATTTATGAATTTTATAACACTTTGACATATGCTTCTTATTACCTTGCCATGCACATGTGAAACCTCGTTATTTCACATTTCAAATCATCCAACCAAATCTTGGGCTCATCCGTATTTATCACACTATTCTTCACACCATTAATAAATAATAGGCCTGACTTTTTTTTAAAAGAACGAAATTATCAAAAAAAAAAAAAAAAGGAAACAAATTACGACAACTGGAATTCTCGGTCGGTCACCGACCCAAGTACTAACCAGGCTCGTCGTTGTTTAATTTTCAACGTGATATGACTGCAGACGCTAAGGTTTTTTTCTGTCTATACATGGCATGCATATATTTTCCTCGCACAGTTGACCAAGTGCGAATAAGAGGCGCCATATTTGTCTGTAATGACTCTGCAGTTGATGGCCTAAATTTGATATGAGTATTTTTCGGTTGCACGAAAATCGTGATAATGGGAACAGATCGTATCATCAGCATGTTCCTTTTGTACTAAGCAGGTGCTTTTTCCAGTCTGTGTCTGTATTCACAACAGCATTTTTGTTATTATCAAATTAGCGATGTTAACAATAAATGTGACGTGAATAGCAAAAGCATACATGATATATAAATAGCTGTCTATTGTGTACGAGAAAACATTCGCCTTCCCATGAAACGAATATTGAATAAAAAAAACAATTGAAATTTTGCGACGGAATTTAATCGATATATGTTGATACTCTTACGACAAGAAACAGGAGAAATATATTGAGCATGAATTAGGATTTGTAAGATATATATCAGAACATTACCGAATACTAGGTATATTTTGTGCTACTCTAAAATCAATATAGACCGTGAATTAAACAGAAGGTTTTGACTGTAAAAAAAACACATTTTTATGGCGTTTTAGTTCATTTATCGGAAAAAAACCTATAAAAATGAAACATATGTTGTTTTACGTATTTTTTTAACACATTTATGTTATATGTGTCTATTCCAACTCAATGTGTGTTAACAATTCATAAAGACTGATAAACTTGGATTAGGAATGATGATAAAACAAACACAATTATTATATTGATGACAGATTTACACGCTACCACGCTACTTCAAGAATAACATTCATATTTTTGGATTACTGCATTCTAAAAAGCAGTAATTAACACTTTAAAAGTAAGATACTTAATTTAGTGAAATTCTTATGAACATGTATAATAAGATGATTCGTATTCACATGGCAATCCCGATCATACCACCATCTCGATCAACTGACAAGACCGGTTTAATGAGGCACCTGCATTTTTGCATATGTCAAGCAATGTTGAGTCATAATAACCATGTTAAGACATGCATAATAAAAGCTGTGAATATTCATAAAGGATGGATGAACGGGTACCAAGAATTCCTGATGTAGAGCAATTTAAAAAATATTTTTAAAAAATAAACAAATTCGCAGTTTCACGATTAAGTGTATTTAATTTTCTCGCCATATAATTTGATAGATTAACATGAGTTATTGAAGATCTGATGTGAAATATCTCGCTCCACTTACCGTTAGTCATCTTATCCCCTTACCACACTAAACATTATACAGATTACAACCGCGATACTGAGCTGATAAGAATTTTAGACTTCACTTTGCTACTAAAGACAAATTTATCAACTTTTAATTCACTCAGACACAATATAGCAACAAACAGTTGATAAAGATTCAAGGAAAAAGATAGTAATCATTATCTAAATTTCAGGAAGTGAGTATTTTAGAATTGTTGGACAAAACATGTTTTAAAGAAAAAAAATAATATAGATTATTTTACAACTATCTGTTTAAATGATACTTTCTTGAATATAACAACTGGTTGTAAAATTTTATGACAAATATTCCACAGCACTCTAGTACAAGAAACACTTTTTCACGATTAAGCGTGTAGCCTTCAGAAAATGGAGAGTTTAACAATTTTCGATCGTAGCGTGGTACCAAAGATCATTTGTTTAGACGTGAAAACTGTGTGCGTTAGGGCTTTTTAAAATAAAGGACCGTTAGATGCGGTTTCCTTCGACCTTGGAAAGGCATACGACACAACGTGGAAATACGGCATGATGGAAAATCAGCACGTATAGGTATCAGAGGTTATTTACCAAATTCTCAATCAGTGATTTCAGTGGAGGGTGCCCTTGATATCGATGACTTCATTATATGCTATCGATCTAAGCATATGAACAACATTGAAAGACAACTAAAACAGTGTTTGAATCGACTTCAAATTTGGGCAGATAAAAATGGATTTAAGTTTTCACAATTAAAAGCAGCTTGTATGCATTTTTGTCAATTGCAGAAACAACACGACGGTCAAATCTTTCTCTTTGTGGTGTACCCATTTAGGTTGTTGGACAAACCAAATTATTGAGTGTAATATTCGACAAGATATTATCGTTCATTCCACATATTAGATATCTTAAAGCCAAATGCCTTAAAACAATGAAAATTCTAAAAGTAGTGTCCCACACTGGTTGCGAATCTGATAGAAAAGTTTTGCAATGACTTTATAGAGCTTTCATTAGATCAAAATTAGACTACGATTCCATGGTTTATTGATCTACTAGGCCTTCGCATCTCAAATTATTAGACAGTGTTCATCACCAAGGTCTCAGGCTTGTTCTCGCAGTTTTTAAGACTACATCTACTCCAAGTCTCTATGTAGAGACTTTTCTCTTGAGTTTGATCCAAAATAAAAACATTTTTTTCTAAACATTCCACGATTCGATATTCGGATCTCCGCCCTTTTACAAAACGCAAATATTGATATAGACCACATTCAGTCACTCGGAACGACAGGAACTCAAGCATCGTGCTTGAATATACCTGAAGTTGACTTTTCACTAAATGAAATAGTAAAATTAGACACTCATAG